TATCACTGAGTTGGCTAATCTACATAGTACCCCCAGTTCAGTCTACATACATTGTTTGCCTTCCTTGAACCATGATGAAGGAAGCGCGTTTTGGTCCTGAAATGGGTTGCCCTTTTTGTATAGTCTTCTACCAGATTTTATACTATAATACATTTTAATTTGGACTAATAACTTGTGGTGTGGCACTTCTCTGATTCATTTATTTGTAAAACCTTGTCAATGAAACAGTGTAGGAATTGCCTTTGCTTTTTACATTCATGTTGCTGTTGCCCAGTGACCAGCCATTGAAAATAAGCAGTTTTGGTGCCTCTCGGTATTGGTTCCACTGCAGAGAGTGGGAAATGTGGAAATCATTGTGTGCCAAGACACTGAAAATAATTTTTCAAGCTAGGAGCAAATTGGACCATGTTTAATAAGGAGGTTTTTTTTTTGCCTTCCTCTGCGTCAACCTTGGGTTTAGGGTTCAGCGGATGCAGCTTTACATTCATTTATTTATTTTCTATTAGCTAAACTCAATGAACAGGTGTCTTTTTCAGCTTGGCTAACTATGTAAAATGGTCCCACCCACAATAAATTTAGCTTGTATTATAAAATCATATCATGATATAGTCCAGAGTCCTGTTTGTTTGATTTCGTGAAGCCTCAAATGTCTTCCATAAAAGTGACACTAAACTCAGGAGTTAAATCTTAAAAATACATTCACGTATCTTAACTATTAACAAAAAAGTTTCTTATTTGTGTATCACTCGGCTGTAGATCCTCAAATCATCTCTGAATTAGTGCTGACACTGTCCTTGATGGACTACAATCTCAATACAAATTAGTAAACTAAACATGAGTTTGTATTCCATCAGAGGAGTGAGCTTGGAGCGGTGACTACTTTACAACACACACAGGGACCATGAGGAAGAAAAGTAGCCACCCTCCAGAAGGAAGGACAGTGTCAGCACCAATTCAGAGATGATTTGAGGATCTACAGCTGAGTGATACACAAATAAGATACATTTTTGTTAATAGTTAGAGTACTTGAAATAATGTTTAAGATTTAATTCCTGAGTTTAGTGTCCTTTTAATCTGATAGGGTCTATTTAGAAACTATCCACGGAGCCTTTCACACTGGGAATATCTGTGTATGTTCAATCTGTGTAAATATATGCCAAAATTAAAGTTCTTACGTTGCTTATTTACAAGGCAATGTATTTTAAAATTTGATGTAATTACCAATTATGGCCACTACATGGTGCAGAGGAGCATAGAAAATAAATACTTTTTTTCCTATGCTCTTTAAAGGAGAACTATGAGGTGAGTGAAAACCACTCAACCTCATAGTTTGAGCCGACGTGTGACAATGAAACTGTCACACGTCGGCTCATTAGATCGGGAAGTGAGCGAACGCATACTGCCGCTCACTCACTTCTCGATCATCTCCCTGCAGAGAGCAGTGACTGTCACCCACTGCTGTAGCTCGCGATATACTGAGCTTTGGGTCACGGGAGGACGCTAGTTTATGTCCTCCCATGACCCTTAGGAGAACTATGGGGAAAAACACTTACCCTATAGTTCTCCTTTAAGCTTCATTGAGTGGCCATAATATGCTTGTGTAAAGAAAATAACTAAAGGAAGTTTGTATTAGCATATATTCACACAGAGTGAACGTTTATAGATGGACCCCTTAGCCCTGGTTCACCCCTTACCGTTTTGTAGGGCGTTCTACGCTCGACGAACGCTCTACAAAACGGTCAAAAATATAAATTGCATTGTAGTCAATGCCCTCGTTCCCACCTTGCCATATTTCCGCCCGTCCCTAACGCCCTACAAAACGGCCCGCGCCTGAAAAAGTCCCGGGACTACTTTGGGCCGTTTTGTAGGGCGTTTTCCATTGGGATACAGCCAAGTAGCCTTCGGAATCGCGCAACGGTCGCGTGACTTTTTTACCGCGAATCGCGGTAAAAAAAACCGTGCGACGGTCGCGCGACATATACACGTATTACAATACGCCTAGGTGTGAATGGGGCCTTACTGTTATCAGCTTAAGGTTGGCTGGAAGCAGGAGTCCAATTTGAGCTAAGTAGCTGAAAAGGGGTTACCTGGCCTTTTACCAAAAGCAACTCATGAGAAATCATTTGACCTATACCTTTGAAAGTATTGCAGTATAGTATTGTATTGTAATAGTATTGATAATACGGTATATGTCAAGTCAAAAAAAAAATGTCTTCGTTTTAGATATAGTAGGGGAAAGTTAGAACCCCTGTCTGTTTTTAGAGCTATCTGGGCCTCCGTTAGAGAGATTTCCACACACTGTGTTCTGCAGACAATATTTTACACAAAGGAAGTGAGGGAAAATCTCCAACATCAACACATACAGAAATAGAAATCCCTTTTTTTCAGATTAGGGGAAAGCTAAAACCTCCATCAAATTTGCATTTCTGCCAGTTTCCTTGTTGCAGATTTTCTCTCACTTCCTGTTTGGTGAAACTCTTGCTATCAGGACAGAAAGTGAGAGTAAATCTCTCTAATAACACATTAGATAGCAGTTAAAACCTGACAAGGGTTCTACTCCTTCACTCTATTCAAAACTGAATAAAAAGGTTCTTGGCTTGACAGACACTTGAACATAGGCTTTCGTTCCAGTCGTACCCTTGTGGTTTGTCCCCGCTCTTATTTTTTATTTAGTAAATCACTCACTGTATTTTTATTGCTGCTCTTCAGGATCATCACGATTTCACAGTTATCTCACGCACTGTAGCTTATAAATTAATCATTGGCAGTTGAATTATTTACACCCGCAAGTTTTGTGTGTCTATTGATTATCTGCAGGGTTATGAGTTCACAATTATCTATTATTGAATGCATTTTATATTTATTTAAATGATAGATGAATAATTTGTTCTGCTCATGAAGGAATGTTTGCACTGATGAGAAACGTTTGGGGTTTTGTATTTTTGGTCATTTGCCGCTCAGATAATTCTTTTTTTCATTATTAATTATTAGGATTGCAACGATACTGTATCGGTGCCGATACCGAGTATTTGGGCGAGTACTCGTACTCGCCCAAATGCTCCAATTCCTTCCCTGATACCGGAAGATTTCCTCTGACCGGCAGTGCCGTACGGGAACATGGAGCTAGCTTCCTTTGCAATCAGGAAGCTGGACGGCGAGTAATGACCCGCCTCACACCTTCCTGATTGACCGGGAAGCCAGTTCAATGCTGATTGACTGGGAAGCCAATCACCTTCAAGCCAGCCAAACAGCCAAAAAAAAGTGTTAAAAACGAAAATGAATCTGACATGTGACTTTTCTGGCCAATCAGATTTGTTTTTTGGTTTAATGCATCCGAATGGGTCTGAATCTGAATTTTTTTTAATTGCATTCGTGAGTTCCCGAATCCCATTTGGGTCTGGGACCCTCAGGTTTAGTTTTATGTATAAGTGGAGTCCGAATTTCCAAATAGCATCCAAGGGCTCCCAAATGCCATTGTGGTCTGGAAGCCTCAGCTTTAATATGGCTCCCAGACCCGTATTACTTTCTGGAGCTCCCGAATGGTATTCAGAAATGCGGACTCCCGAATGCCATTCGGGTCTAGGAGCCTCAGCTTTAGTATTAATATATGTATATGGTTTTCTGTGGTGTTCACAATGAATATTTGTAAACTCATCCGAAACTAACCAAAATTTTGATTTCGGACGCATCTGAAACCTGAACTGAATTGAATTTCAGATCCGAATCCCGAAATTACTAAATATCTGAACCAAATTTTTCAGCAGCTTGCATGTCTAATGGTCACAGGACCAGATGGGGTGTTTTTAATGTGTGGGATATATACAGTATGACAGACTGTATATGTCAGCATATTCACTTCGGTATCCAAACCTACTACCAGGTAGTAACTACCTGCTTCTCCACACGCGCTGTCCCGCAGACCGCTGGATAGGCTGCGTCCCACCCTCTGAGCAGTGGAGGTTAATGATGTATAGACTATAAGCAAGGTCATAGTGGCATTTTTATGCAATGTTCAATTCTTAAAGTGGACCTCTACTAAACAATATTGACATTATTTTAAAATGTATTCTGCACGGTATAAAGAGATGTTTATGAAAGAGCTGCAAAACACGGTTTATTAGGTTTCTGTATTAGGAGCCGGAGAGAGAGGGGCAGGCCAAATGTGTGGATGCTGCAGGTGGGGAGGGACAGGCCGAATGTGTCAGTCGCTGGAGGTTGGGAGGGGTCGGCCGATTTGGACGCACTAGTACTGTGGGAGGGAACCAACTCACGATCTACCAGCGTTAGCATTGCGAACAACTGGTAGATCGTGATCGAACTAATGGGCACCCCGCAGTTAGACAATCGGGTCACTTTTCTGTTCCAGCAGGATTGTGCTTTTGTGTAAGAGCCAGCTCCATAAAGACATGGTTTGATGAGTTTGGTGTGAAGGAACTTGAGTGGCCTGTACAGAACGCTGACCTCAATCCTACGGAACACCTATGGAATGAGTTGGGACATTGATTGCAACACTGGTCTTCTCATCTAACATAAGTATGTGACCTCACAAGTGTCCTTTTGGCTGAATAGGAACAGATTTCCATTGACACACTCCAAAAGCTTGTGGAAAACAGTCCCAGAAAAGTAAAGGCTATTAGAGCTGCTCCAAATTAATGTCAGGGGCCATGGTACAGTGTATGTCAAAGTACTGTCTTTGTGATTCCCCATACAGGGCTAAGCAAAACATTCACTTTAAGACCCTCACATCTTCCAGGTCAGATGTCCACAAACGTTTGGTCATGTAGTGTGTAATACTGTAGAAGATATATACATTTAAAAATGTTGTGCGTGTGCATTGGGGGGTGGGATTGTTTATGTATTTTACATTTTTTTTAAATCATTTTGTGATCACTTTGTAGCTGTGGGTCTCTGTATTAGTACATTTGCTTTTGTGCTTTATTTATCAATGTTTCAGGAGATAATTTAAGAAAATAATTGTAAATTTTGTTTTGCACCTCCAGGGGACATTGAACGATGCTCTTTTATCAAGTATCACTATTCCTCGGCTACTATACCCAAGAACCTCACATATAACATCACCAAGACAATCCGGCAAGACGAATGGCATGCCCTCCGTAAGTACTTGGCACTTTATACATACACCACATGCTGAGTTACCCAATCAGATTTCAATTTAGAGAAGTCATTAAATTTGATTGGTTGCTTTGGCTTCATAGACTTTGCATTTTTGTCTTTGGCTTATTAAATATTTCTGCCTGAAGTGGAATACTGGACAAGGTCCTCTTGATCCTGTGCAATGACTTTATGGAGTTATTGGGAAAAGTGGTACTGGCACAAAGGCAGCACTGTTTAAAGGATACTAACATTTCTCTGGGTACTCCCCACCCTCCTAATCACCCTTTGCCTTTATTACATAGACCTCACATGCAGACAATGCAGCGCTGTCCTCATTCTCTAGAATCTAGAGTCTAGATGATGCAAGGTGCACATGTGTGTACTTTTAACAGACAGGAGAGGACAGCTGGGTACAGAACTACTGCAAGGGCAGGCAGGGGGCTTCTGCATTATATACTTTGCATCCAAAGTCTAAATAAGTAGTTCCCAGGATGATTAGGAGTGTGGGGTGTCATGCAATGCACAGTTTCAAAGTCCAGTTAGGTGCAGGCTGCCTTCACCATCCTCATCCTGCTGATGCAGGAGCCTTGCTGCCTATTAATTGGACTAAACCTGTCTGAATGCTTCAGTATAGGCCAGTTGTTTTATGGATAATGTTTCTTACCTGCTTGCTGAGGGAGAATCATCACCAGCTTTTTATATTTCTCAGGCATTAATGCAAGACTCTTCCCCTAATCTCTTGGTACTTCTTCGCCTCACAGCACTGAATCCTTGCACCTCCTGTTGTTTTATTATAATGAAAACTATGTGAACAATCCTAACAGAGAAGAGATAGGGCCTTACGGTGTAGCTGTCATGAATAAAAATGCATGTTCCCATTACTGATCTCCTTTTCTGCAAATGCTAGGTACCTGGCTGTTAACTGGCTTAAATGTCTTGACTTACTACCCCCGAACAGAAAATAAAAACATCTGATCATTATATGACTTTCTTGATCCGCATACTTGTTGTTGGAGAGTGCTTACTTTTGTTCCCCATGGGTGTCGCAAAGTAACCACTGTTCCAAGCTCGCTCCCGTGATGGACTACAATCTCAATGCTAAGTTGTATGGAGGTTGCAGTCTATCACGGGAGCGAGCTTGGAGCTTCCACCCTCCAGACGGAAGGACAGTGTCAGCACCAATTCAGAGATGATTTGAGGATCTACAGCTGAGAGATGCACAAATAAGATCATTTTTTATTAATAGTTAAGGTAAATGAATGCAATTTAAGATTTAAAAGAGAACTATGGGGTAACCTTTTTATCCCATAGTTCTCTTTAGGGTCACGGGAGGACATACACTAACCTCCTCCCGTGACCCAAAGCTCAGTATGTAGCTCGTTATAGCTCACAAAATACTAAGAGAGTACTTAGACAATACTGTCGAGATCCACCCAGCTGCCTGATTGACAGTGGGCTCTACCTATCTAGAGGCAGAGCCAGCTGTGCACGCTCCCTCCCCTGTCCTTTCCTCCAGTGAGTCGCCGCTCTCTGCAGGGAGATGATCGGAAGTGAGCGAGCGACGGTATGTGTTCGCTCACTTCCCGATCAATAGAGCCAGCGTGTGACAGTTTCAATATCATACGTCGGCTCTAACTATGAGGTAGAGTGTAAATCACTCAACTCATAGTTCTCCTTTAACTTCTGAGTTTAGTGTCACCTTAAATCCAGAGGCTCAGCACAAGGAGCAGTCAAATAGCTTTTTCAGAAGGTCAGCAATGGCAGCTCCGTTATACTTCTCTTGATGGGTTTATTTTATGTGGTGGGCAGAGGTGGGAATTCAGGTGTGGAGATTTTGATAATTAATTTCTGAAGAGAAATAGAGAGTTTTCATTTACCTAACATGTTAGTGAAAATTGGGAGGTTTCAGCAATTGTTTTGCCATCTTTTAAGTTAATGAGAAAAAGCAAAAGTAAAATTGTTTTGGTGGTGTTTAAGAAGCTCCCTGGCCCCCTTATTCACCTCATTATTTTATCTTTTTTATTCAGAGAATAAAAAACGGTGAAAAACATGTAAAATATTATATAGAAAAAAGGAAAACAGAATATATTTTTCTTTAACAAATGCTGCCGTAGCGCCTTAATGATCAAAGTTGAGAGTTTCGAAATCAGCAAGCTTTCACCAAAAGCTAAATCGGTAATCCTGCAGCAAAATAATTTTTTCCTAAATCACTCCGCTCATTCCTACTGGTGGGTAACTGAACCAGCATCAACATCAATAATTAATAATAATATGCTGCATTTATGAAAACTGTGTCTACAGTTTGCCCATAGCATCAAGCGCATTGGTACATCTAGGCACACTGGATACGTGGAAATGCCATTTACAGGTTACAAAGTTCATCAGTCACATTGTGTTTGCAAAGTTCAAATTTGTTTTACTCTGATTGCATATTGTAACAATGTCACTTTATTTAAAGATGTGTTTGATATCCCCTCTGAAGTCAGTAAATTGTGATCCTGGTTCTTAGACAATAGATGTACATGTAGATGAGCTACAAGAGATGTACATGTAGATGAGCTAGAGAAACATGTAGATGTAGCTCTATGGGCTACGCAGTGTGATGTCTAACCTTTATACTATATGTATTGTTTTATAAGCAAGCTGGTCATGGTTCTTCCTTGCCTTCTGTAGCCTTAAATAGTCTTTGCAACAGGAAGAGCCTGAAACTGCTTTAATAAAAGCTTGCTTGAGCAGTTTGGTTGTCAACAAAGTGGTGGTAGTAATTTGGTTGGATATTGGTTTTTCTTGCAGTGGAATATTTAGATTTCTTTTTTTAAAGTGGTTGTCTATAGAAAAAACTCCAGACAAAACTTCTTATATGCATCTAATTTTTTTGTCACACTTATATGCTCTCCCTGTGCACAGGTCAACATGCATGGGTCAACCACAAGCACCTCGAAGTAGGGTGGAAACATGAACTGTTTCCAAGTAAATTTCACATAAGCTGTTTGCATGGCAAAATTTGAGGCTAAATTGGACTAAGTTTTGGCAAAGGCAAAATTGTAGTTTGCTGCAAAATTAGTTTAGCCAAAATTGCACACCGCTAGTGGCATTAGAACTCACCTATCTGATGGTCAGCTAAAGAACAAGTGGCTTCAGAAGTTCTGCTTCCTTGATCACTTCTCACTCCCAACCTGACTGAGCAATGAAAGAGCAGTTGCCACTGCCTTTGCCTAGGTGTTCAACTTTAATATGTAGATGTAATAGATGTAACAAGGCAAGGGAAGCCAGTATACAAATTCAGTAGGCGGTCCCAAGGGCTGCAGAGAATTGTGTTCATGTACTGATGGGAGTGCCATTCTTTGCAGCATTGCTGTGTAAGCCCAGGGCAGCTTGATAACAAATCTTTAAGTGGTGTGTACTTGACACCTTGAGGTCACAGGAAGCTGGTTGAATGACTATGGGTGTCATTCCACCCAGAAGAGGACCAGCTCAGGATCTCAGTGGTGAGTCTGCAGTATGTAGGAATGGATTAAAAACATTGTAATGTGGAATTGAATTTTAACCTCTTGCCGTCTGCCCTTAGTAAAAAAAATCTTGACATGTTTAGTGTCTTTTTACCCGACGTGACCCCATCTTTTATATTTTACCAAAAAATTGGGTAATAATAAATGTTTTATCATTTAATATAGGGGAAACTGTTTTTTTTTTTTATATTTCGGTAATTTTTCCTTAATATAGTAAAAAAATAAAACCCCCAGTGGTGAATAAATACCACCAAAAGAAAGCTCTATCTGTCCCCAAAAAAGGGTATAAAATTCATTTCAGTACAGCGCTGCATGACGGAATAAATGTCAGTTAAAGTACCGCAGCGCTGAATACTGAAAAATGGCCTGGATGGGAAGGGGGTTTAACACCGCGGATGTCAACTGGTTAAAGAAGAACTATGAGGTGAGTGAATTACACGGCTCTATTGATCAGGAAGTGAGCAAAAACATACCCACGATGCGCTCACTTCCCGATCATCTTCCTGCAGAGAGCGATGACTGTTAGTCACCGCTCTCTGCAGGGATTTCCCCCTCCCCTCTCCAATACTTCTGCGCTGACTGGAGGGATGGATGGGGGAGAGGACAGGCATAGCTGCCTCTAGAGAGGCAGAGCCAGCTGTCAATCAGCCAGCTGGGTGGATTTCATACCAGCTGTGGTGCCTTCAGCAGATTCATATTGAAAAAGACAATGATATAAAAATTAAACCATCTTCATGGCATATATATCAAAACTAATACTGGTTTTACTGCCTATGACTGATTTTAGAAAATAGGAATAGTTTGGCGATAATTAGCGAGAGGCAAATGATATAAAGCTTTCTCACTTGAACGATTAGCACTCACTATCCCCCTGAACTATATGCATATGCAGTTATTTGATAAACGCTGGACTGATCATATCAGTAACCCTTGTTGCAGATTTGCCATACTAGCGATACGCTGTGCTGATAACTCATTTCTAGCCAGGAGGCATGGCTCACCAAATCATGATGTCATTGAGATTTGACTGTAAAAAACCAATACAGAGAAGACAATTTCTCAGAACAATATTCTAATCAGTACATAACATCACATTCATCTCCATACAAGACATCCAATTTTCCCCGCCACTTGCTGACTTGCTATTGAGGGAGTTTCAATTAAAATTCATTCAGAGTAACATAGAAGCTTTGCTATATAATGATGGAACCAGGCCTCGTTCTTCAGGAACAGTACAAAGGAGGTTGTCTCTGATTTGTACACTTTGTATAAAGGCATGCGTATCTAAGTTATAATATTTACGTTTCATATTTCAGTATGATCTTTATTACTCACTGAGTCAATTCAAAGCAAAAATATTAAAAGGTATCTCTGGTCAAAAACGTAAATGAAATATGTTGACTTTCCTTAGATTGTCTTTCCATATGTTGTATCCAACTCGTAATAACCATATCCATCTAGAAGTTTGTAAACTTACTTATTGAAGATGC